TATTGTCAAGTGTAGGTCGCGATTGTTTTTCTAGACAAATAATGCAACTATTTTGTGAATAGCGAGTATGCCGAATAATTATTCAAGATTTGCAGCATGCAAAAGATTATTTTTGCATATCCACAAATTGTTACGATTGCCAAGTTTCCTCCACCAATGGTAAAGATTTCAATTGTAAATGGACGTAAATACTGTCAGACACCAGACTCCCCTATTCCTCCCTACACAAGTTGCAGACTATTCAGAACTCTTTTCTCACACCAGGCTCCACAAGCCCATTACCCCCATCCCCACAGCATGGGCAGATTCAAGATCCTGTACTCACTTTAAAATCCCTCCATGGCCTCGCCCCCACTTTGCCTCTGCAATCTTTTGTTACTGCTTCTTGCCCCCTGCCCAATCCCCCCACTGCACAATCAGCGAGCTTTCAGCCACTCTGTCCCCGCTCTCTGGAACTCCAACCCAGAGTACCTCTACCTTGCCCCTCCATGCCCACTGTCAAAACCCACCTGAAGACCCATTTTTTCCATTGCACTTTGGGCGATCTTACTCCTCCTCCTCAGCTCCTTCCCCTCCCTTTCCCCTCAGCTCAGGCTCCTAGTCAATTGAGTGAAGCTTTTTCAGAAGTCCTCCTGCTGTGACAGGCACTATATAAATAGTGTTCAAATGCCGCTTAACAACCAAGTGGTCATTTTCTGCATTACATAAAATTTGCGTTAATCGCTTAATGTAAAATCGGGGAGCTGTAGGCAATATTCTCTCCCCTTCCCTTGTTGGTGATTGGACTTTTTTCCTACTATTGTAATATGGTTGCAAAGGAGATGTCATCTTCTTCTACCTGGTGGCCATTCACATGTGAACCTTGGTGGTGAATGTTGACATTGTATTCTGGTGGCCATAGAGCTGAGCGTTATCTTGTTCTCACTCAATATCAGCACAAGCAGACCTCCAGCAGGGGTCACTCACTAAAGATCAGGAGCCACAATATCTCCTCCCTAACTTCAGGGAAACATGGCCCCAACTCCTGCTCTTCTTTGGACAAGATATTAAACCGGGGCCTGTCTGTTTGTTTGTTCAGGTGGACGTTAAAGATCCTATGGCACTATTTGAAAAATGAAGGAATTCGTCATTCACTTCAAGGCTTTTTTGTGGGACACTACTGCACACTAATTGGCTGTCGCATTTGCCTACAAAATACACAGTCATTACACTTTACAGTAAATCTTGTGACTTGCTTTGAGACATCTCAACTACATGGTAGGACGTTACATCAAATGTAAGATCAGATGTCTCTGCACAGAGCATGGATCTAACGGGACTTTCAAGGTGCCCTTTGGCTCAACTGGATAAACCTGCTAAGCCATGAAGAAAAGCTGCTCCTCAGTGGTTTCAATAACCAGCTTATTGGTGATGTTTGTAACTTCATTTGAAAGTGATTCAAGCCAGTGTGAGAAACATCAAAATAATTTAGGAAACTATGACTGATCAGAGGAGTACCATAAAAATCAAGGTTCTATTACTTAAAACAGGGAGATTCTAATTGAAACCTTTACTCGGTTTCTGCGTGGGTTCTCAATCCAATGAATGAGGCTGTGTCATTCACAGTTTGTGGTAAATATCCTGTGAGGGGTGCATAAGGGAAAGGAAAAAGAATGCTCATCGAAACAGTGCCAAATATTCAAGAGCAAATGGCTTCTTCCTGAGTGGAAAATCTTTGCAGCTCCTTTGAATGGGAAGAGCATTGACCTCTGCAAGGTTGCTGGATGGCTGGAAGCGATGTTTATTGTGCTTTGGAGCTCCGCTTCATTCAGAGACCTTGTGGATCTGCATGTCATTCCTAGCTCACAGTGAGAAACTGACATGCTGTTTCCAGCTGTGTTGTGAATGCAATCTCACAAGACATTTGAAGTGCATTTTGTATCCTGTCATTGAATCCCTTCAGAAAAATATTCTAGATGTATTGTAATCTCATTGCTCTTAGATTAGATTTACATCAATTGGTGAGATCCATTTAAAGCAGCTGCTGTAGTTTGCAAGAAACAGAAAGTTTATTATTATTATTATTATTATAATAATGGAGGCTTCATAAACACAATGGGAGTCATTTTCAAAAAAAAAGCTTGCTTTGCAACATTTTTGTTTTACTCTCGCTCTGTCCAGTCACCCATTCTGTAACTCCTGCACATAGACTATCCACTCACCAGACAGAAACCTGACCATGTGGGATATCAGCACCACTGCTGCCTTTGGTTTGTTTTGGTCAGTCTCCTCTCTCTCTCTCTCTCTCTCTCTCTCTCTCTTTCAATTCTCTCACACTTTGATCCAGCATTCAAATCTCTTTAGATTTGCCCCGACAGTCCAATGTGATCATTGATAAGCGGTCCGAATGAGACTTGGACATCCGATGGAACCTGGGTGATAAGATGTTGCACCCCTGGACTGCTGGCCTGGAGCACGCACCTCATTAAATTGGCTCCAGCACCTCTGTAACGCTTATGCACAGGAATGATATAAAGCCAGAGCACAACGGAAATATCAATAGCTATTTCACTTTCACCATGCTGCTGCATGTTGGAATGTTTTCAGAGCAGATATCAGGGTCTATTTTACGGTGTTTCAGAACATAATTCCCCAATAATGATTCTAAATTGCATATAGGGAATCCCGCTGGTAGCCAGAACACCGGACGTAAATCATGGAGGGATGCACTTCCACTTACTGCCAGAGTTCTCTATTTCTAACTCAGAGCCCTTATTAAAGAATCCTGTTAAAAAAAACACAAATTATATTCCATTGTACTTTTCCCAGTGACAACAAGCTCTTCAAAGAATCATAGAAATTGCCACCACAGAAATGTGGAGAAGTGGTATTTGGCCCACCACTCATTCCTGTGTTGGACTCTCAAACGTGTGATAGTTATAAACACATCACTAACCATTCCCCCAATATTATTATGTGATCGAAACCCTCCATCAGCAGACCATTCTCACACATTCAAATAAGGCATTTACAGAGCAGCACAGACAGTAATGAATTGCTGTAACGGACAGCAATGAACAGCCAACCAAGTGGTGCACTGACGGACAATCTCCACTGGATGGAGCACAGTGAAGTGATATTGTCCCAGTGGATGGTTGCCAGCATTATGTATACAATGGGCCTAATTTACAAGATTCGCAAAATTGTAAATAGTGAATCCTACGCATATCCAGATGTGTCTCTCTGGAATTTCCTCAGACTGCACTCTCAATTTCAGTTTCTGGATTGCAGCCCCAGTGCCCAGCAGGATACCAACATCTCTGAGAGGATCCCTTTGGTAATCCTGTAATTCAGATCCCATTGCTGTTTAAGATTGGATGCATGTAGGTATCAGTGAAAGGGCTGGACACTTTAAAAAAATCATGCTCCCACTTATTTATTTGGACAATGGCTTTGCAGTTCAGGCTTGTGACCTTGAAACTTACTTCATTTAGAACTCAGCCACCAAAAAGCAGAGCCATCCATATAATTCATTTATCTGGCTGCCATCTAAATGCTGTAGCATCCTGAACTAATAATGGTCCTGAAATGCTGTCTGGTGCTGATACTAAAATACTTTCCTCTCAATCTCCTTCCTGAGAGTGAGTATAAAGTCACCGCAAAATCATTTTCTACCTGTCTTTCTCCACCCCTTTGTCACCACTACACTTGACTTCTGCTCGCCAGTCTCTTTAGCTCCATCCTCCACAAACCCCACATCATACAGATCTCTACAGCCTGCATCCTCCCACCACTAGATTACATGGGTCAATCACCCCCAGCCTCCCTGGCTCCACTGACTCCCCGACCCCCAACAGAATACCTCCAAGATCCTCATCCTTACACCAAATGCCTCCATGGCCTTGCTTCAGCCTACTCTGTGATTTCCTGACACCCTACCTCCATGGACACTCCTTCCCCTCCAACTTAATTCCATTCCACCCCACCAAGCTTTCAGCCACTTCACCCCTCCTCTCTGGAACTCTCTCCTGAAATCCCTCCACTATGCCCCCTTCCTCTGTTTTCAAATTCCATCTAAAAACCAATCTATTTGACTGCAATTAGTCCCACCCCACCACTAATGGAGCTTCAATCGCTGGTGGAGATAAGCATAAGACAGGTTTGCAGTCTGTATATCCTTGTGCTGTGTTGGTTGGGGACTTTACTGTGACCAAGAGAGGAACAACAGCAATAACAAACTTTTATATAAAGTCCTTCACACAGGGTAGCATCTTGGAGTGTTTTCACTCAGAGAAGGTTCCAAAATCACAAAGATTAGTTTGAATGAGGAAGGTCCTTCAGCCTATCTGATCTCATCCTTTAAAAGACCCACCCTACCATCCTCCCATCACAGTATCAAGCTGGTTTTTAAATGGGTCCAAGGTCATGGCTTCAACCACCCTTCCTGGCAACCTGTCCCAGTTGCTAATAATCCTCTGAGTAAAGAAAAAAATTCCTGGTAACTGTCATGAAATTGTCCTTTGCAATTCTAAACCTATGTCCTCTTGTTCTGTTGTTTTGCTGCATCCTAAGTATTGTTTACTGTTATAATTCTATTTAATATTTTGTACACTATATGATCCCTCTCTGAATATCTCCTTTCAAGACTAAAGAGCCCAAGTTGCCTGATCAGAGAGCAGGGTGAAAGAGAATGCACCACGATCATTTAAAAAGGAACCATTGGCACACTGACAGTGGTGTTGGGGGTGAATTGTGTAATTCATTGTGTTAGCTGTTCAACCAATAACCTGATTAAGAACTACAACTCTTTCAAATAGCTGCTGTGTCAAACCCTCCATTGTCAGGCTGTAGAAAAAAAGCTTAAGAAAAATGCTTATTTCCAAACATGTAACTGCACACAGAAAGGTTAGAAACCTTTCCACAAAACAAAAAAGGCTTCACAGGCTCATTACAGATCGCTTTTGTCACTAATGTGACAATCTCTTTCTCTTTCAGAACTTCAGACGTACAGAATAGCTCACCTCTCCTTCTCTGGGCCACGGCCTTCCGTTCTGTGTATATTTGCTTTGATTCTGTCTTTTCTTCTGCCCTCCATCGGCAAATTTGCACAGCAAAGGCTCATTGGGGGCTGCGGAGGCAAAAAGCCAAGGCCATGTTAGCAACAGAGAAACGATTCTATCAGCAGAAGTACTCGTGTGTGTGTGTTAGATTTCTTTTGAAGTATATCTTGTTAAAGCAGATACTCCGAGTCTCTTCATACTGTGCGCCAAGAGCCTTCCACACTACTCGAGCTTCAAAACATTTTCTAAGGAATACAAGAATTACATTATCCTACACCCGTGACTGAATTCCTGAAAATATTAAAAAGATAAGGGTTTCCCCCACTCTTCCACCAGAGCAATTGAAGGTTACCCACCTGTCTTGCTGGATAAACCCCTTATCTGTTGGTGTCTTCAGATGTACAACACCAAAAATAAACCCAGCACCTTTGAGCAAGCCGTTTCCATCAGGCTGCATCTTTATAACTGGGATTGCTCTGTGTTCAAGTTCATTCAAATCACTGGACCTATTCATGAGTTTTTATAATGCTGCTTTCTTTGTTGAATGCTTTGAATGCAGTTGGCACGATAGGATTGACATAGCTGATGGCCTGTCAAGTAGGTTTGGGCCCAGAAATCAAGAAATAATGACCACCTCTGGAATTCCCTTCCATGTGGTGCATGCTCGAGTCTGAAATTTTATCTGCTGCTGGATTATATGCTGAATATATTCCCTGCATTTGGATAGATATAGAAAAGCGCACTAATCCTTAATATGACGATTGATGCTAGCTTGCTGAAACCTCTCTTTTCTGTCATGTCTGAGGGGAACACTCATTATATTTATGGTCTCGGATTTACAACAACAACAATTTGCATACTAACGCAGTAACCACCAATGCAAATCTTGATGGTGGGGTGGAGTGGGCATAAGCAGCCAGTTGGTTGCGGGGAAGGAGGACCCAGGGAAATAGGGTCTCAGGAATTCACGAGGGGTAGCTTTTTTGAGCCCTGATTTAAGAGCAATTGATGGCCAATTCCAGTAACACAGTTATCACTAAATCCACGTCATTGTGCTAGTGCCTGCGCAGGCAAACCCAAAGATAGGTTTAACAGTTAACACAGGAGTCCCAATGTGTAGGATCACTGGATAAGATACGATAGCTGTTAACTACACATAATGTATCATGTTGGTCACCTAGGCCTATATCATTTTGTAGTGCATGAAAGACAACTAAATTGGATCAGATATGCATTTCTCTGCTTACCACTTTTACTTTGAATGGTTGTCTAAAATTTCTCCACCATTGTATTATTCATAAAGAACAAGCTGGTTCACATAAACCTGTTCACACTACAAAGCATTATGCGGTGTTTTGGCTTCCTTCGATTCTTTCTGAATACGTCCTTACATTTATCTTTATTGAACTTCATTTGCCAGCTATCAGGCCAAGTGCACGCAATATCAAATTCTCTTTGTATAACCATTGCTCGCTCACAAATCCACACATATATTCACTTTTACACATGCACATACATGTACATTCATTAACATAGGCACAAACACACACACATTTACTCCCTAACACATAAAGGTGCACATTCACACAAACACATGCGCACACTAAAGAATTATTAGCATTTTTTCTACTTCAAATATGGGCAACTAGGCCTCTAAGCCAGCCAGTGGCGGTCCATGTCACTGCATGGATTGTCCAATACAGGGTGATCCACATCATCACGAAGGAATCTGCAATGGCCAGTGACATTTCAATCTGTGTCTGGATGCTTGCCAGATTTAATTAGAAATCACAACTGAGGCTGGATTGTAACTAAAGTCCCCAAATACTGTAATGGAGTGTAGTGTCCTCAATTCATTCTGTAGGAGACCCATTGATACAACTGAATGAAGCCAACAGAAGCCATTGTCTCACTCGTTTATTAGCCTACGATTTCTTATTAATGGGGGTAACAATACCTTACTATGCTTATAATTGGCACTATTGCATATTGGAGTAAATAATATTAGATTATTCTCAGTTTGCATTCCTACATCTTAGTCAGAAATGCATATGACTTTCCTTTCATTTTTGTGCTTTCTTATTGTGAAAATATATGTTTTACAGCAGGATGATCAACAAACTGGATAGAAATCTTCCAGGACCGTTTTCTCAATTCTGATTAAAACATTAGGATCCATGTTATTCTCATGTGGAGAAAGCCATTATCTCATTGCTTCTATAAGGATATTTGTACAGGAAACATATGGAAAATTACACACTTGTGAATTAATAGCTTCCCTTGCAAGGTCTTTATATTAACTAATTTAACGGATTTAACAGACTGAAGTGTCTCCGAGCGTCTGTGTTGTCCAATTCAGACCAGTGTATATAAATACACGTCTAGACTAGAGACAGTTCCGGGTATTGCCAAGAATCAGCTCTCTAAATTCAGGGGAAACTCTGACTGAGAAATGTCCGATCTAATTGTACTGTTCAGTCAGATTTATAACATAGTTTGAACAGTAACATTACTAACAGTAGCATCTGACCCAATGTGGATCCACAAGTTATTGTTACAAGTTAACCATTTTCTTAAGTATTTAGGATACATGTCAAGATCCGAGATCCCCAAGATCCAAAGCACGCACAGTGCAATTAAGGATCTGAGGATAACCACCCTGTTATGCTGCAGATTTTATTAATATTATTATCTATGTATCATCACAGTAAAATTTAAATATTTGTGCGGATTGTATCTATATTCAAGTAACATTCAAAAGGCATAAATGCAAACTCCCATTTGTTACATTTGTCCCAGCAGATCTTCAAAACAGTAGACCATTAGATACACTTACCAGGGGAAATAGTTGTACATCAAACAATCTTTAAGAATAGGAGTTAGGCGTCTCTGTGATTTTCTTAGATCAAAGCTGATCTGTATCTCAACACCATTTATCTGCCTTTCCTCCATACCCTCTGATATTCTTACCAGCCAAGTATTTATCTACTTCCCTTTTAAACATTCCCCCTCAAACAGTGAGGAAGTAAATTCCACAATCCCAAACTCTTTAAATAAAGGAAAGTCTTCTGATTCCACTACTCGTAATGTCTGCCTTGCTCAGTTGGTAGCATTGTTAAAGGGGTGGATCTGGGGGGCCGAGACCCCACCGAAGACCAAAGTATTTATTTTAATTATGAGCTGTTTTTTATCATGTTTAAAGATCAGAGCTAAAATAAAGTCCCACCTTTAATTGTTAATTTGAAGGCAACACTAAATGTAAGCTCTCTGTGATGTCACTGCCAGAGAGTGAAGGGATTTGAACACGAGTGTGAGGATCTTGAAGTCGATCCGTTTGGTGATGGGGAGCCAGTGGAGCCTGGCCAAAACTGGTGAGATGTGGGTATGAAGTTTAACCGGGTCAGTATGCGAGCGGCAGATTTTTGAATGAGCTGGATCATTTGAATAGTGGAGCTGGGGAGACCAGCGAGGCGTGCGTTCAAGTAATCCAGGCGGGAGATGACAAACCCATGCACGAGGGTTTCGGCCGCATTTGGGGTAAGGTACGGTCGAAAGCGAGTAACGTGGTGGAGGTGGAAGAAGGCAGTCCTGGACAGGACTGGCTGTGGGGGAGGAAGGACAGCTAGGTCAAACCGGATACCTAGATTGCACACTGGTTCGGTGAGTCTGAGGGAGAGCCCAGGGAGGTTGAGGAGTTTAGGTCCGCAGGAGTGAAGGCGTTGATAGGAGCCAAGGAGTATGGCTTCCATCTTATTCACATTCAGCTGCAGGAGGTTTACACTCATCTAGTTCTGGATGTCTGCCAGACAAGGTGATAGAACATCAGCGGACCTGGAGTCGATACTGGAGGAAGTAGATTTGTGTGTCATCTGCATACATGTGGAAGTTTACCCCGTGTCTGCGGATGACATCGCCCAGAGGGAGTATATAGATGAGGAAAAGAAGAGGGCCAAGGATGGAGCCCTGGGGTACCCCGCAGGTGACCGGGCAGGGGAGGGAGGAGATAGCATTTGCCCAGATGAAATGGAGGCGGTTGGTTAAGTGGGACTCGAACCATGCAAGTTCAGTCCTACCAAGGTAGATGAGGGAAGAGAGCCGATGGAGGAGGATGGTGTGGTCGGCTGTGTTGAACAGGGCAGAGAGATCCAGGAGGACGAGGCAGACATCAAGGAGGGAGCCCTGGTGTCAGATAGAGAGAATGGCGTTTGTGACTTTGACAAACGCTGTCTCTGTGCTATGGGCAGGGCAAAAACCAGACTGCAGGGGCTCGAGGAGGGAGTGGAGGGAGAGGTGTGACCGAAGTTGACCTGCAACAATGCATTCCAGGACTTTGTCAAGGAAGGGTAGGTTGGAGATGGGATGGTAGTGTGAGAGATTAGAGGGATCAATGGTGGCTTTTTGGGGAGGGATGTCATAACAACAGCTTTCAGGGGGAGTGGAAGAAAGCCGGAGGAGGTAATGGATGGTGGAAAACAGTGTCTTTGGGTTGTTTTTGGCCTCCAGAATGACTTTGGAGTCACCTCACTGTGAATCTGTTATGAAAACGCTCAGTAAATACTCTGTGCGATGTTTATATACGTTAAAGCCTCTAGATTTGTAATGTAGTTATTATTTTAACATTTCCTAAAAAAATTTAATACTTCAGACCCCCACCCCCGGGTGAAATCACGAAAATGCTCCATGTCATGTCAAAGTCTTAGTATTGGGGGACATTGAACTCACAGTCTAGGATGACACTCTATTGCTGGGGAGCACTACATTGTTGGCGGTACCGTCTTTAGATTAGATTTAAAACCAAGGTCCTGTGTGCCTGTTCAAGTCGATGGTAAAGATCCCATGGTACTACTTGAAGACAAGAATGTTTCTCTCAGTGTTCCAGCTAATAATCTTCCAGAAAAAATTGGCCGTTCAATTTAAGACTCTTTGTGGGTCATTGCTGTGTGAAAATTGGCTTTTGTGCTTGCCTATAAATACATAGTCACTCCACTTCACAGTGATATCCTGTGGAGTGTTTTGAGACCTGAAAAATGCTGTATGAAACGTAATGATCATTATTTAGAGGTTTAGC